CCCGGCGGTGTTAGTCAGATGCTTCCACATGGAGGCCTTTCAGTTTCACCAGAGAGAGGCCCTGGCCAGAAACTTGCAGTTGTTGCCGTGCTTAGGCGCTATCCACCGCGAGTCCCGAGTTGGAAAGGAAAAGAAAGAGAGAAAGATTCCCCTGTATGTAGCAGAGAGGAGAAGAAGAAAGGAGAAAAATAAATCCCAAACTTTAGGCTTCCCTCCTACCTGGCTCGCCAGACCAGTAGAGGGTCTTGACTGCAAGTTGTCCAGATTCTTGGCGTTTTGAACAAAGAATTGGACAAAACGCACAGCAAAGCAAGGAAAGCAGAGATTTATTGAAAGTGAAAGTACACTTCACAGTGTGGGAGTGAGCCCAAGCAGCAGCTCAGGGACCCCAGATACAGAATCTTGTCAGGTCCAAATACCTGCTAGAGGTTTCCCATTGGCCATCCTACTTAGTGTTCGCCTCATGTAAATGAAGTGGTGGCCAGCAATCAGAGGCTAAAGTTACAAAGTTGCACTTCCATACAAATGAAGACTCGGCCCACAGTCAGTCTCATTGGTTGCGGACAGCAAGTTGTCCAGGTTCTTGGCGTTTTGAACAAATAAGTGTACAAAACGCACAGTAAAGCTAGAAAAGAATGAAGCAAGGAAAGCAGAGATTTATTGAAAGTGAAAGTACACTCCACAGTGTGGGAGCAGGCTGAGCAGCAGCTCAAGGGCCCCAGATACAGAATCTTGTCAGGTCCAAATACCGGCTAGAGGTTTCCCATTGGCCACTTACTTGGTGCTCACCCCATGTAAATAAAGTGGTGGCCCATAATCAGAGGCTAAAGAGAAGTTACAATGTTGCACTTCTATGCAAAGGAAGACTTGGCCTGCAATCAGTCTGATTGGTTGGGGATGGCAACCAATCAGAGGCTGAAGTGAAGTTACAAAGTTACACTCTATGCAAACATCTGATTAGTTGCAGAAAGCAATCAATCAGAGGTACTTTCAATTTTTCAGCTGCAGCACAGAAAAGGTGGGGGTTTGCAAAGGGAGTGGCCTCTGGGCCTTTTGTTACTTACAAGTGGAAAGTTAGGGTTTTCCTTTCCAAATGGCTCTAGGAAGTCAGTGAGAAACGGCCTTAGGTTCTCTGCTTCCAGACCCTGTTCTCCTACCTCACTAGCAGAGTACAGTGTGCACTTCCTGAAAATGGAAGCTGTTTTGCTAATAATTTTAACTTGACAGAAAAGTAGGGTGATCAGATAAAATACCCTATGTCCCATGGAATAGTTGGAATGTACTTAAATTATTTTTCATTGATTATCTGAAATTAAAATTTACCTGGGCATAATGTACTTTTATTTGCTATATCCGACAATCTTATACAGAAGTCATGGGAAACTCAGAAAAGGTTGTCCAAATTATTCTGGCAGAGAGGAGTAGAAGAAACAAATGCCATTTGGGCTGGGTACAGTGGTTCACATCTGTAACCCCAGCACTTTGGGAAGCCGAAGCAGATCACGAGGTCAGGAGATCGAGACCATCCTGGCCAGTATGGTGAAACCCCATCTCTACTAAAAATACAAAAATTAGCTGGGCGTCGTCGTGCGTGCCTGTAATCCCAGCTACTCGAGAGGTTGAGGCAGGAGAATTGCTTGGACCAGGGAGTCGGAGGTTGCAGTGAGCAAAGATGGCACCACTGCACTCCAGCCTGGTGACAGAGCGAGATTCCGTCTCAAAAACAAGAAACAAAACAAAACAAAACAAATGCCATTAAAAAAATTAAACAAACAAACAACAAAACTGTGGGGCCGGGCGTGGTGGCTCACATCTGTAATCCCCGCACTGTGGGAGACCGAGGCAGGTGGATCACCCGAGGTCAGGAGTTTGAGAATAGCCTAGCCTGGCCAACATGGTGAAACCCCATTTCTACTAAAAATACAAAAAAAATAACTGGGCATGGTGGCTGGCACCTGTAATCCCAGCTACTTGGGAGGTTGAGGCACGAGAATCGCTTGAACCTGGGAGGCAGAGGTTGCAGTGAGTTGAGATCGAGCCACTGTACTCCATCCTAGGCAACAGGGAGGCTCTGTTGCAACCAAAAAAAAAAAAAAATTGTGGTAAAATATACATAATAGAAAACTTACCGTCTAACCATTTTTAAGTGTACACTTCTGTGACATTAGCATATTTGCATTGTTGTGCAGTCATCACCATTCATCCTAACTTTTTCACCAACCCATACTGAAGCTCTATGCCATTAAACAGTAAATCCCCATCCCTCCTTCCCTAGACTCTACAACCACTGCTCTACTTTTTGTCTCTATGAATATAACAGCACCATAGTATTGGCGGTAAATCAGAGTTGGCAAATGCAATCTGAAGCAGAAGAGAGGAGAAACTCATAACCCTCAAGTTTTACAGTCCCATTAAAAGTATTAGTACTTTGAGAAAAGGACCGTCACGATCATGGGGAGAATGAAGGAAACACTCCATTTCTTTCCAGTTTGCAACTGGAATTGCCAATCTAACTTTCGCCTTTCGGCATGGCAACACCCAGGACACCAACGCCCACAACGCAGGTCCTCCATTTTGTGACCTGCGTGGGGGGCGGGGCAATCTCTCTCCGCCACGCCCCCGGCACCGGGTAGACATCGCAGCCAGGTAACCAAGGAACCCAAAGTGAGGCGTTGGCCAGGAGAGGCTGGATCCGGAAGTGAGGGGGCCCCTCCGCCCCGCGTCCGAGCCCCGCCCCTGGCCCCTCCCACCGGACCCCGGCCGACCTAGATGACGTGTCCGAATAGGAGTTGGCGAGGTGCGGCCGGCCTGCCCCGCGCGTGCGTGATACGCGCACCGGTGGAGTCGGTAGCAGGAGTCTGGTGGTCGTTTTCATTGAGAAAGGCTCCGCTTCTCCGGGTTTTTGCTGATGCTGAGCCCGGGGGATTGAGGAAACATCGAGCTTCGGAGTGGAAAAGGTTGCAGACTTTTAGACTCCCAAGTCCTTGTGGTCTCAGTCTCCAGAGTGGCTGCGTTACTGCAGGAAGTCACTCCCCTTTCTTAGGCGCATCCTTGGCTGTAAAAGGAGGTTAAATGCCTCTGGAAAACCTCAGGTTTATTTCAGCTTTAAAAGTCCGGTTCCAGATTTAGATCCAGCAGTCGTGTGGCCTGGCCGGTGATGGTCCTGGAGTACTTTCCCCGCGCCTGGGGTCTCTAGGCTGTGTGGATGTAGAGGTGTGGGATGTAGGGGCAGGCACTTACCCGTGGAACTTACATATAAATGGGGGACTGAGACAGCAAACAAACAAACGTGATCCTTCCTGATAGTGGTACATGTGGGATGCCGAGGTTTAAGCAGACGAGTGGTATTAAGAGATTTCAAGGTTTTTGCCAAGAGTGGAAGCTGAGAGGCTTCTGCAGTAAGAAGTCCAGGGCAACTAAGAATTTGGCTTGGACCAGGGTGGTAGCTGTGGGCATGGTAAGTACTGAAAGAATTTAGTCCACAGTTTAGCACCCCAGGCAAGGGGACTGAAGGACAGGAGGTAGGGAGTGAGGAAATGAGAAATTTAGGTTCTCCTCCAGGGTTGGTGCCTGAGAAGAGATGGGCGGCGATGCCGTTTCCTGGAAAACTAGGAGAGGATGTGTTTGGGATGAGGGCAGTGAGATATAATGAAGGTTAAGTTTTAGGGGTGCTAGAAAAAGAATATAATGAGCAAAAATGTTAGTTTGTTTCCTCCTCTTTCCTATCTGGAGAAAATGTCTGCTTCCTTTTATTGTATTGGAAATCTCCATGACTTCCAAATACAGAATATTTTACAATTTTTCCCTAGCCCTAAGTTCAGCGAATATGTTGATTTATTTGAGTGAGAGGACGTGAAAGGGAAGCCACCTAGGCACAGTTTTCTGTTCAGGCCCTACCGGATTAGTTTTTGTTATTAAAAAAAAAAAAGGTGCCATTCTTTGGGCCAAGCGGTGTGCTCAGCGCTTTGCCTCCATTTTTCATTTAATCTTCACAACAACCTTAAGATGAACGTTCTTCTCTAATTCCCAGTTCTCTCTTGATTAACTTGGCTACCCCACTATATGGATCAATTTGCAGGGTCCTACGTCCCTTTGAAAATCTGATGAAAGTTATAAACCTTCCCTGGGAAAAAAGTACAAACACCTGCAATAACTTTAAATAGGAGTTCACCGGCCCTAAACTTTTCTGAGCTTACTGTTTCACAAACTTGCCTATTCTTGAATTCTGAGCTGGAGGTTGTGATTCTCTCTTCTGTACTTTAAGATGATGCACTCTTCTGAAGTTTTCGATTGAACTCTAGTGGCCAACTGAATTGACTTTTTCAGATCACTAAAAAGTTTCTCCTTGAAAAATACTCAGAAGATGAAACACACACACACACACGTGTACGCATACACACGCGGACACCATATAGCATCATCAGTGGGAAAAGTGACAGCATCTTGCTAAAGGGTGATCATACCATATTAATCCGATTCGCCAGAACTACTTGCTTCACTGAGCTCTCAGGTGTGCTCGGGTCTTCCTTTGAAGAAAATAAATGTCAACGCTACCCTCTATTCTACTCCCATTTTCCTCCCCACCCCATTTCCACTCTCCCTTAAAGAGATGTGTGCACACAATCACTGCCCAACGCAGGAATGCATCACTGCATCCAATGCTTGGAAACTGTCCGTGAAGATGCCTTTGAGTAGCTGTCTATTTGAGGATTTGTGGCTAATTCCTCCCCATTTGTTTCCTTAGCCTGCTCCCAACCAGGTGTCTCCCGAACTTTTCCCCTCCGCCACCAACTCCGTCTCCATCAGCAGGTGCTTTCTGTCATAGGGACTGGCGTGCCGCGGACAGTGTGATAAAGAAACCGTATGATGGATATGAGAAATTCGTAAGACCCAGCAGCAAACGGGGAGCGGCTGGCGAGCGCTCCACGGCCCCCAAGCGTAGGAGCTCTGGATCGGAATTTGTAATTCGTAATTGGAACGTGAGCGCCGGAACAGCTCTCCCGGTAACCACCCCAGCTGGCGCGCGGAAAACCCGGAAAGTGGATTTCGCCCCCGCTCCCTCCCGGAAACAACAACTGGTGCCTGCAACCGTTCTCACTGAGCATGTGCAGACGGCGATGCGCATGCTCCGTCGCGGTCCGGTTCGGTTTCTGTTGCGGGACCCAGGGTGTCTCCTAGCGCAACCGGAACTAGCCGTCCCGGGGCTGGCCTCCTTTATCTCCCGCGGCCTTGTAGTGGTCTCCGAGCCTCCCCACCCCTCCTTCCCTCTTCACCCCCTAGACTTGATTGCCCTTTCCCCGAAACAGCTATCATGAGCGCGAGGCTGCCAGTGTTGTCTCCACCTCGGTGGCCGCGGCTGTTGCTGCTGTCGCTGCTCCTGCTGGGGGCGGCTCCTGGCCCGCGCCGGAGCGGCGCTTTCTACCTGCCCGGCCTGGCGCCCGTCAACTTCTGCGACGAAGAAAAAAAGAGCGACGAGTGCAAGGTGGGTGAGGCCTGACGCGCCCCCTGATACACTGTCGGAAGGGGAAGTCGCCCCTATCCGGGGGAGCTGATCCTCGGGTGGGAGTGAGGGAAGGAGGTGTAGCAGTGGGTGGGGTCGAGTTTCCCCTGAAGCTTTTGGGGTCGGCCGGGCTGTGGGTGGGGGGGCTCTGGAACAGCCCTTGCAAGGGTAGATTTTGGAGGACTCAGTGGGCCTCAGACTCTCCTCCCGTCTTGCGGGCCAAGTAGCACGAGCAGCTGTATTCAGTTTTCCTGGAACAGGGACCGTGTGGAGCGCCCTTGGAGTTGGGCTTCACGCCTTAGAGCTTTGGAGTTGGATGCATGCAGGTCCACGCGTGAGTGTTCGCTCACAGCCCTGTATCATGTACGCTAAGAAAGCGGGTGACCGACTCTTTGCATGTGAGCAACACTCAGCCTAGTTACAATTTCCATTAGCTTTTAACTTCATTGCTTCCTGTTGAATTGCATTTTCCGGAAACCTCCTGGTTGGTTAGGAGAGCTTGTTCTTTCTAGGACTTTGATACCTCGCATCACAATTAGAAGTTGGTTCCTTATTTGTGGAGTATAACACCCAGAACCGCACAAACTGCATTAATAAAGAATTGCTGTAATGGTTGAGCCACTTGATTTCTGACTTTTAAGTGTAAAAGATATAAATACACAAAAAAAGATACGAGATCTCACTAGTTTCTCTTAGATGGTTTTAAACATTTAAAAGGGGCAAATGATGGGAGCATCTGGTATTTTCCTAGGGCAAGTCTTGAAAACTTTGATCTCTTACAACATTCACACCCAAGGTTTTCAGTTTAATTGCTAGTAAAAGAGGCGTAAGTAAAGTAACCTGCTTTTAGGTTATATGGTGTAGGGCTTTACAGTATTCATACACAACTATTTTGTTAAGTTTATTTAAAACTTAACATTTGGGGGATGAGGATCTCTTTGAAGCCTTTAATGATTTTAACAATTCAAATAATCGTTCAACAAACTTTTACAATCTATAAATAGGCTTATTTATTAAGTTTGATTTTTTTAAAGCTAGTGTTTATTTTATTACTGCTAGCTTTACTATAGCTGTGAATTTTGAGGTTATTTTAGGGCATTAGATAAGCTATTAAATTTTTCATAACATGTGGTAGTTTCTTTTTAGGTTGTCAGCTGTCCTGAATGACATGTTTATACATCTGTGCAAAACCTTGTATCTGAAAAAATATATAAGGATATTTAAGGTTTACCCAAGTCAGCAGTTGACGTTTCAGTACTTAAGTTTATACTCTGCAGTGCAAGAAACTTTTACTCCTTTTTGAGGATTCTGACTGAAAGACTGTTGTGCTTCCAAGTGGAAGGGAGATCTAGACTTGCAAGTACACTGGTTTTTCCGTTAAATATTTTAGTAACCAACCTTCAAAGCCTAGTATTTGGTCTTTAATTTTAACAGCAGTTGTATATTCTATTCCTAGTGCCTCAAAGATGAAAAATATATTTCCTGCCCTCTAGGAACCTCCATGTAAGGGATATAAGTTTATGAACAGATTAACAGATTATTGAAATCTGATATACGGGATGATGTCCAAAGTGTTCTAAAACACAAATGAGGAAACTATCTGTGGACTAGAGTCTTTAGGGAAAGTTCTATAGGAGAAGTGACACGGCCAGGCGTGGTGGCTCAGGCCTGTAATTCCTTGGGAGGCCGAGGTGGGCGGATTACCTGAGGTCAGGAGTTTGAGACCAGTCTGGCCAATATGGTGAAACCCCATCTCTACTAAGAATACAAAAATTAGCTGGGTGTGGTGGCGGGCATCTGTAATCCCAGCTACTTGGGAGGCTGAGGCAGGGAGAATCGCTTGAACTCAGGAGGCAGAGGTTGCAGTAAGCCGAGATTGTGTCATTGCACTCCAGCCTGGGCGACAGAGCGAGACTTTGTCTCAAAAAAAAAAAAAAAAAAAAGAAGACGAAGTAACATTTGAGATGGACTTAGAAAATGAATAAGTGAAACTTACAGGTGGTCTGCCAGTTAGATGATTGTTTTCTCAACAGGTCCTTTGGTAAGTGGCTAGGTTGTGTATTATAGTTGTCTATTGGTTAATCTTGGGGGTCATTTTGGATTTTTAATTTTCATGGGTATAGGGATAAAACAGGCAGAGTAGATCATTTTTCTGAAATGTTTGGATTTTTATCTTTATCGCCAGCTACACTCACGTTTGGTCAATGGAAACAACTTTTAGAAGAGCAGGAGGGTGTACTTTCAGCATTTTTCCTACGATATGACTAACTGGTGTAGAGAATTTGAAATAAACTTTAATGTTTCTTTTCTTTGCCTTTCAAAGAAGATGCTATAAATAACAGTAAACAGTTGAAATTTGTATTACTTCAATTGGGATATTAATAATTTATTCTCATCCATTTCGTATTTGTTAAGGACAGTCTTGTATATATTATTCAGAAAAGTGGAAGGAACTTCTTTTAAAAATTAGAAATGAGAGTCGTGAAGTGGAAATGATTCTTTCCAGAAGATGCTGTTAAGTTAGTGAATCTGAAGGTGGATAAATTCGGCAGGTCGTTGATGCTGTTACCAACGGTTTTTCCATCTGTAAAATAGGGATAATCGTATTTGATTATGACATATTCCCCTTGAAAGGTATTTTGCATTTCTTAGAGGAAAAGTGCAATATTTGTCATTGTTGTCATAGTGTAGAGATGAAACAAATATATCTTCAACTTATATATAATTTAGGTAGTAGAGTGTTTTTATGTGCTGTAAAGTTTGTCTCATGCATTTACCTCAGGATGTAAATTGAGAGATAATCAGAAGAACCCTGAGGATTTAGTAATTTTCTCTCTTTAAAAATTATCTTATGTTGAATTTACTAGCAGAGAAACAGGAGTCCAGTGAACATAAAATTCTATTTATGTTGCTGTAACTTCTGATTATCTTAGCCTTCATAGATACTGTATGTTTTCATGGCCTCCTTTTTTTAACTTATTTTACATGCACATGCATTTGGATATTGAGGTGGTGCACATTCTTACTGCTTTTTATAGCCTATACTATTTCATTTTGTTCCTGTACTGTCTATGGTTTGCCTAACCATTCTTACTTGTAGGGCATTTAGATTGGGCCCAGTTTTTCTCTATTATAAATAGCTCTGCTACAGTGTATTTAGCAGTAATTATTTGCATATCCCCAAATATAAAATTCTGGGCAAAGATAAGAAGTGTTTTAGTTCCGTGTAGTATTGCCAGATTTCTTTCAACAACGATAGGTTTGATTTACAGTGCCTTTAACTAAATAATACCTTGTCTTGCCGCATTATTTTAATTTTTATTTATCAATTTCATAGCGATTTAATGGTCCCTAAGACTTTTTTTTTTTTTTTTTGAGGTGGAGTTTCGCTCTTATCACCCAGGCCAGAGTGCAATGGCGCGATCTTGGCTCACTGCAACCTCCATCTCCTGAGTTCGAGCAATTCTCCTGCCTCAGCCCCCTGAGTAACTGGGATTACAGGCGCCTGCCACCCCTTATGCCTGGCTAGTTTTTGTATTTTTAGTAGAGATGGAGTTTCACTGCGTTGGCCAGGCTAGTCTCGAACTCCTGAGCTCTCAGGTAATTCGTCCACCTCAGTCTCCCAAAGTGCTGGGATTACAGGCATGAGCCACCACACCCAGCCTGTACACTTTTTAAATGCTTTACTTTCATTGCTATTGAAGTTTCTGTGTCTTTTAATATTTTTCATTTATTTGCCTTATTTTGTTAGGTTTTGAAACCATAGTAATAAAAGATTGAGCTATGCTATTCCTTTCCTGTAGAATTCTCTTTACTTTCTTCACATCAAGGGACACTATATGACTGAAATAAGTAGAATAAAGGCCTGATTATAAGTGAATAGATCTTCCAGGGTAAGATACGCAGTTCTAATTTAGTTTGTAAAAGTTTTGGCTATTTCAGTTAGCTTTGTGCTTTTTAGCTTTAGATCAAATCTTAGTGTGCCGAGAGGCATTCTGATGGCTAAGAGGTGAAGATAGTGAGCAGTTCACCTTTGCTGCTTTTAACTTTCAAGTAATTATTGGATTGTCAACCAGAATTCACACCTAAGAACTAAAAATAGTATTCTCCAAAACTTTAATTCTGCCACTTTTTTACTGTTTGATGGATAGATTATGTTCTCAGATGAAAGATTAAGATTTTTTTTCCTTTGCTGTAAGGAAAAATGACCAATCATACCCCCTAGTGGTTAAAAACAATGTTTAAATGAATTAGTTTAACAACTTTTTAATAAAAAAGAAAATTACTCAGTCATACTTTCCTTTCTTGGTAGTTATTTTTAGAAGCATTTTATAAGTTGCAATTGTATTCTGGGAGCAGTCGTGTATAAATATTGGAATGAGTCAAATTTAAGAAAATAGTCCGAATGTTGATCTGAACAGGCACAGAATAAATATATATGTACCTGTTTTAATTTTACCATAGAAGTAGTTTGAAGATTTTGAAGTATTTAAAGAAAAAAATAGTAATTAGTATGTGTATTTATTGGTATTGTGATAAATATTTATCGATATTTAGTTTCACGTTCTCATAGTTTTCTCTGGAATAAGAGCATTGATTCTTAGCTTCTGGGAACTCATTAGTGTTTGGGTGTTGCTGTTTCAAATCTGAAATCTGGCACTGGGAGGACTTACTTTGACTATGGTAAATACACATTCCAACAATTATTTCTTCTTCCTCTGAAAAGGTATGTGACACTGAGAAAGTTTGCCTTTCAGAAATTAAATTTTTAAGTAAAATTATTTTAAGACTGTGATTGTTTGTTATAGTCAATCTGAGAATTAGAATGAAGAAAGCAACAGAAGTCTATGAATAAAATTGTGTCTTTCTGCCTGTGGCCCCTCACCAAGGTGGGTGTAAACTTGAACTTCCAAAGGTGTGAACTGGAATATCTGAAACAAATCACAGACATACGTTCCACACCTCACACCCCCAACACAAAC